ATCTAATTCGCATATGAGTCCTTGTCCTCCCGATATGATATGAATGCAATCTTTGAATTTTGTTGTAACTAACCCACGCCATGATTTGTAGAATGCAAGTGCACATTGTAAAACAAATGCCAAGTGTGAAAGCCGGTTATATAGACCCTCAAGCTATAGCACAAATAAATTTTAATTACCGTAAACAATGGAAACTGGATGACAAAGAGCTAGCTGCTAGAAAGACCCTTCGGGAGAAAGAGCATATCCGTACAATGAAACTAAGGGAAGAGTCCCTTAAGGTTTCGGCATACATTGCCCTAGCTTTTAAAATTCTCCAACAGCACTCTACTATATGGCTACCATACAACTTTGAGTAAGTTCAACTCTATACTTAAAGTTTTGTTTGATATATTTTATTCGATGCAAAAGAGCTTATCTAGTTCTATGATTAAATCCATGCAGCAACCACTGGATGTTTATAGGCGTCGATGTCGGGAGGAGCATGGCATGGGTCTTTGATTCAATAGATAGGGACCCGGTGACATACAAAGACTTCATATCGATTCTCAAGACGTATACATATCGACAATCCTCATTAACTTATATGTTTGTATACATACTTGTAACGTTCACTTTTGGATACTAACAAGTTGTATTTGCTAAAATAATTCGAACAGGGCATTTAGGTTCTATGTCACTAAACATCACGGAAGGCATGATCCAGCAAGAAAGGAAAAGTTGGTTATAAAAACACTATGTGCGGTAAGTGTAACTTACTTCTTCAGTACTCCATTACATGGCTGTCAAAATCATTACTTAACATTTCCATATGCAAAACACACAGTAACCCAAGCAGAAGCCTAGGAGTGTACATTGTGGATACTATGTATGTTCTATGATGAGTAACACCGGTGCCTACAGGAGACACCCCTTAAGGGTAAGTTTGAACCTCTTCACCCGTAGTATAAAAACTTTGTACATGATATGAAATACTAAACCGAAACTTGTTCTTTTGTAGTGGAAAGAAGAGAAAGAAATGAAAAGAGACCCATACAAGAATGACCAACTCTTAGAGCTCATCGGCGACCTTTGCAACTTCATATTGGACCAGATTGTACACGTCAAAGGCACCTACCATGACCGAGAGTCTGACTTAGGTAGAAATCCTCAGTACCAACACCTTCGTGAGACCGAAAGGCTAGCTCTAGGCCATTGATAACAATGTGTAGGGAATTTGACATTGGTTTTACCTTGTGAATTATGTCTATTTAATGATGGATTGTATATATTCTTGTGAATTGTACTTGTAATTGTAGTTTATATAATACTCTTGAGCGAATGCGGTTCGAAGGCTGCGTTTTGCGAATCGCGGGTCGTAGTTAAGTTTCGCGCGTTCCATGCCGTGGGTGATTCCTGGTCATGCGTTGGTCATGGGGCGTTCGGCAGGATTATCTCGCTTTCCTCGCTCACTCGCAACACGAACGCGGGAATATGCGGAAACAAATAGGGCCATATGTATGTTCTGGTCGAATTTGAATTGTAAATTTGATTTTTTTTGCGGGAAAATATACTGTAGAGGCGGTTCTAGATTGAACCGCCCCTACAAACAAGTATTATAGGGGCGGCTGGTACTACAACCGCCCCTATAAATTGATTTGTAGGAGCGATCTGGAACCGCCCCTACAAAGATATGATTTGTAGAGACGGTTTGGTAGAGACGGCTAGCCAAACCGCCCCTACAAACCCTGTGTGACGTAGTGTTGGTGGACGACCCTGCATGTGCGGCCATAGAAAGCACATGCACGCTAAGGAAAACGAACGTGGTATAGGCTACTCTGGTTTTTCACATAGTCAGGTTTTCCTTGAACGAGCTATGATAATTATTTTCACAAAATCATTTTCAGCATCCACATTCACTACGCCAGATTCTTACTATAGGAACGGCGGCATTTTTACTGTAGGGGCGGCTGGGGTTGGGGGCGCCCCTACAGTGGGAGTCCTCGGGCCCCAGCAGCCCAGCCGCCCCTACAGATGGCACTGTAGGGGCGGCTGGTAACTTGAGCCGCCCCAACAGTTGCGGCTGATCTGTAGGGGTGGCTCAATCACCAGCCGCCCCTGTAGTGCCCATTTGTCGTTTTTCAAAATTTCAAATTTGAAAGGTTCAAATTTTATCAAATGACAAGTTGACTAAAATAAAAGTTGTAGATATTAATGAGTTGAACAACTTTGGTATTCATCACTTTTTATGTTGAAATCATTTTGGGTCTCAAATTTTGGTTTAAACTTGTTATTTTTTAAAATTTCAAATTTGAAAGGTTCAAATTTAGTCAAATGACAAGAAAACCAAAATAAAAGTTGTAGATCTTGATGAGTTGAACAACTTTTGTATTCATCACTTTTACATCTGAAATCATTTAGGGTTTGAAAATTTGGTTTTAACTTGTCAAATTTCAAATTTCAAATTTTAAAATGTGTAAAACATTATCACATCCAAGTTTGATCAAACTTAAATGCTGAAGCAAGATTTTAGAAATTTTTAGAAAAAAAAACCAACACATTTGGAGTTAGTATGAGGGAGAACAACTAGTTACAACGTTTACTCATAGACTAAAAAGAGAAATCACACTGTTGTAGATGATCCTTACATGATCATAGTGAACAGTGTGATTTCTTTTTTTAATCTGTGGGTCAACTTTGTAACTAGTTTTTTTTCCTCATACTAACTCCAAATCTGATGATTTTTTTTCTAAAATTTTCTAAAATCATTCTCTATCAATTTATTTTGTTGGTTTTGTCAATATATACATATGAAAAGTTTGAGCAATTTAAATTTTGAATTTCAAAAAAATGCAACTTCAGACAAGATTTTGGTACCCCAAATGATTTCAGCTGGAAAGTGATAAATACCAAAGTTGAATAACTCATCAAGATCTACAACTTTTGTATTAGTCATTTTCTTCATATGACAAAGTGGTAATGACATTGTTCACAAATGTGACACATCTCTCATAAGATTTTTTATAAACTATATAAGACATGTGTAAGATTAGTGAACAATGTGTGCTAAGAATTTGTCAAATAAAGAAATAACCAAAACAAAAGTTGTATATATTCATGAGTTGAACAACTTTGGTATTCATCACTTTTTATGTTGAAATCAATTTGGGTCTCAAATTTTGGTTCGAACTTGTCGTTTTTCGAAATTTCAAATTTGAAAGGTTCAAATTTTATCAAATGACAAGTTGACTAAAATAAAAGTTGTAGATATTAATGAGTTGAACAACTTTGGTATTCATCACTTTTTATGTTGAAATCATTTTGGGTCTCAAATTTTGGTTCGAACTTGTCATTTTTTAAAATTTCTAATTTGAAAGATTCAAATTTAGTGAAATGACAAGATAATCACAATAAAAGTTGTAGATCTTTATGAGTTTAACAACTTTTGTATTTATCACTTTTACATCTGAAATCATTTAGGGTTTGAATATTTGGTCTGAACTTGTCAAATTTTAAATTTCAAATTTTAAAATGTGTAAAACATTGTCACATCCAAGTTTGATCAAACTTAAATGGTGAAGCAAGATTTTAGAAATTTTTAGGAAAAAAAACCATCACATTTGAAGTTAGCGTAAGGGAGAACAACTAGTTACAAAGTTTACCCACAGATTAAAAAGAGAAATCACACTGTTGTAGATGATCCTTACATGATCATAGTGAACAGTGTGATTTCTTTTTTTAATCTGTGGGTCAACTTTGTAACTAGTTTTTCTTCCTCATACTAACTCCAAATCTGATGATTTTTTTTCTAAAATTTTCTAAAATCATTCTCTATCAATTTATTTTGTTGGTTTTGTCAATATATACATATGAAAAGTTTGAGCAATTTAAATTTTGGATTTCAAAAAATACAACTTCAGAAAAGATTTTGGTACCCCAAATGATTTTAGCTGAAAAAGTGATAAATACCAAAGTTGAATAACTCATCAAGATCTATAACTTTTGTATCGGTCTTTTCTTCATATGACAAAGTGGTAATGACATTGTTCACAAATATGACACATCTCTCATAAGGTTTCATAAACTATATGAGACATGTGTAAGATTAGTGAACAATATGTGCTAAGAATTTGTCAAATGAAGAAATGACCAAAATAAAAGTTGTAGATATTTATGAGTTGAACAACTTTGGTATTCATCACTTTTTATGTTGAAATCAATTTGGGTCTCAGATTTTGGTTCCAACTTGTCGTTTTTCAAAATTTCAAATTTGAAAGGTTCAAATTTTGTCAAATGACAAGATGATAAAAATAAAAGTTGTAGATATTAATGAGTTGAACAACTTTGGTATTCATCACTTTTTATGTTGAAATCATTTTGGGTCTCAAATTTTGGTTCGAACTTGTTATTTTTTAAATTTTCAAATTTGAAAGGTTCAAATTTAGTCAAATGACAAGATAATCAAAATAAAAGTTGTAGATCTTGATGAGTTGAACAACTTTTGTATTCATCACATTTACATCTGAAATCATTTAGGGTTTGAAATTTTGGTTTGAACTTATTAAATTTTAAATTTCAAATTATTTTAGTAGTTTTGATTTTAATTTTTTAAAATTTAATTTTCCCCATTTTTAAAGGTTCAATTTTGCAATTTTAAACTATTGTAGTTGTTTTAGTTATTGTATATGTAAATACATCTATAAAAAAATAATTATAAAATTTTGTACTGTATTATTTATAAAAATAATTATAAAAAAATAATTATAAAGGTCCCTCTCCTCCGCCGCGGCAACTGGAAACCCCCGAGGGGGAAGCGACTCGCTGCCACGCGGGCCCACGCGTCAGTGAGACGCGTCCGGCCTTATTGCGCCGCTTCTTTCCCCAGGCTTCCTCTGCTCGCAGTCTCGCTCCACCACGAGCCCACTCTCGGCTCTCGCCCACCGCCACCACTCCCCGAAAACCCCACCGCACACCACCAAACCCTAGTGAGCGAGGCGATCGGCCACCGTCGACTGAGCGCAATGAAGACACCCCCGGTGGCCCGTGACCTGGAGGCGGCCGCTCCGGCGACGGCGGAGCAGCAGACCCCCGCGACGAAGAAGGTGGTGGAGGAGGAGGATCCGCGCCTGCGCTGGGCGTTCGTGCGGAAGGTCTACGGCATCCTATCCCTGTAGTTTGCCCTCACACGTTCATCGTCATCCTCGTCTCCCCGCTCATCGGTGCGTGCGCGCGCCTCCGTTCCCCCTTCCCTCCTTCCGTTCCTAGGGTTTGGATCATAACCGCCGTGGTTTTGTTCGGTTTGGTTTCGTTGGTTTGTGCAGTCATGTTCCCCATGCTCAAGTACAGGGAGAAGCACCCCAGGAACCTCATCCTGCTCGCCCTGTTCACGCTTTGCTGCAGCCTCAGTATCGCCGTGTCCGCGTCCACCACTCTCGGTATGGGCAATTGATTCCTCCTCATCTCCCTCTTGTGTCGTTGTTTTGTTTCCTGTTGTGATGTGGATGGATGAAATTGGAATGCAGCGTGTGGTGAAATTCTGGTGGTGACTATGTATATCTATAGCATGCTAGTGTATCCATCCAAGGTTCCTATGTGTCATGCTGACTAAGAATGGTCCTAGGCCACCACAGAATTAAAGTTTGCTCAATGTCCTTTTTTTTAAATAAAAACCCTTAACTCCTAAGGCTTGATTAGACATATAAAAGCAAGTAAATAATGTACTTCAGGCATATTACTTATGAGTCTTCGTTTAGGATAAAATAAGTTGACTTGTGCATTGAACCAAATGGCTTACTTAAAATAATGTTTCGTTTCCACTATTTTGACTTTTTGTCAAATTGTCAAGGTTATGGTGATATCAGGAAACCACCATTGGTAGAAGTCATCGCATGTTTTGGTTTACTTAGGACCTCAGCTCCCTCCAATATTGCTCAGCACACTCATTAATTACTATTTTCCAATATATCTTCAAGAAACATGAGAGCCAAAGTATTTTCTGGAGAACAAGTAGTCTAGTCTTTCTTTTAAGCAGCTCAGAATGGCCATGCTTTGTCTAAGAAACCCAGGATGAACTTGTTACTTATAGCGGCCATTTCATGCGTGCTCACAACAATGGTTAGGTAGCAACAATCACTGAAATAGTTTTAGGTTTCATTCCCCTTCTTTCATATATGAGTATGACCCCCTTTGTTTTACTTCCTTCGAAAACGCAGGATATAGGGAACTATCAATACATGATGGAAGACATGCAGTGCTCCCTGACATTACATTTTTGCGCCTGACGGTCATGGCAAATGGACATGCCTTTGAGGCCAGCGCATTCCATGTTCTCAGATTGTCTACTGGTATAAGGAGGTTGGTGCTGCAGTTAGTTGCTACTGTCTCAGAGGTAAACCTATTCTTCGTTTACCTAATACTCTCCCCAGACACAGAAAAAAGGTAGCATTTTGGTCCCTAAAAGGCATTTTTGACAATCAATTTCAGTTAAAATATATATCGAAAGCCAAATTAAATTAAAGCATCATGAAACTGTTTTTCAAGGTAGATCGATGCATGCTGTTTTTATGAGAAAAGAAAACATGTGTTTGTATTTAGTTAGACATGGTCCCTAGGTAAAACACAACTCGTTTTCTTAGTTGAGTAAGTATAGAAGTTGTCAGGGAAGTAATGGGAAGAAACCTGCATTTATATTTTTTTTTTGGCAAATGTATGGTTTATTTGATATCCAAATGATAGCACTTTACTCTGTAGATTTAACTGTTGGTATACATTTGGGCTGTAAGTTGTTGCTCTCTTTCTAGTTATTGTTAGCATGTTTCAAATATATGGTTGTGGACCTGTGGTGAGTCGTTGGATGGCACTAAAGCAGATCAACCTTGTTATGTATATAAGAGTTAGAAAATAATACGGCAGTGAACAAAAAATTGAAGGAGTAAGTGACCTAAGTATTTATAATTTTTTAAAAAAAAGGAAGATAAAAATGTTATGTTGATCTATTCAGAATCTATGCACTAGGATCGATTCAAAATCTCCTTAATTCTGAGCGATTAATAGCATGTTGCTGTGACATGAATTTTTCTGTGATTTTGTAAACAGAAATTATGCTCTTGTGTGCTATCTTTTCTCTTGGTAGAAAATTATATTGCTGCAACTAGTTACTAGGCTCAAAAGTGTTCAGGAATCTGACTATTTACTCTCTCCCCTTTTTATCATGCACTCACCAATTAATTTTATTAAGTTAATATACTTCCTTGTGTCAGGCCCAAACTGTATGCTCATCTGATTGCATATGCCTTCAGCGAGTAGAGTGGAAAACGGAGGAACTCTTGTTGAATCACCTTAAAGAAGTAGAAATTACTGGATGGAGAGGAACTGAACATGAAGTTGATTTTGTGAAACGACTTTTCGATTGGGGACAAAGCTTAAAGAGATGACAGTAAATTTCCATCGTTCAATCTCCCGTGTCATACTTGTTTGGCTCACAGTTTACTGTTGATCCACTGCAGATCTGCTTCCCGCTGGGAAGGGTGGCCAACTGGCCATGACCATCTACGGGTTCCTGGCCACCCTGGTGTTCTCGGGCTTCATCGTCTACGACACCCACATGCTGCTCAAGCGCCACACCTACAACGAGTACGTGGTCGCCGCCATCTCCCGCTACCTAGACATCATCAACCTCTTCATGGCCCAGATGTCACTCTTCTTGTGGATTTCTTAATGGACTATGTTATAATGATGGACTTCATAGTAGATGTATATATGTATATTTATGGCGGTCAGATTCGAATTTGAATTATATATATGTGGTCAGATTCGAATTTGAATTTTTTTTTTTTTGCTGAAAAATCCACTATAGGGGCGGTTCTTGATTGAACCGCCCTTACAAATACACACAGCAGGAGTGGCTGGTGATACAGCCGCCCTTACAGAAGTCCACTACAGGGGCGGCTGATATTATCAGCCACCCCTAAAGAGGGCACTGTAGGGGCGGCTGAAAACACCAGCCGCCCCTACAGAAGGCACTGTAGGGGCGACTGAAAACACCAGCCGTCCCTACAGAGGGCACTACAGAGGCGGTCAGGAAACCGCCCCTACAGAGGCACCCTCTGTAGAAACACCCTGAGAAGGGTGGCTGGCGCAGCCGCCCTTATAGAGGCTCTAGAGCCGTCCCTACAGTTAACTTATGTAGTAGTGATTAGTAAGTTGGCATGACAAAAGTGTACTGTGCGGCTGCCCCGAAAAAATTTGGCGGCTGAATTATAAAAGTTTGAGACATGTCGTCGTTAGTGTAAATTTGTTTATAACGACATCTGCCGTGATGAGTCGGGCAACCGTAACTAAATCACATCAGGGGATGAAACTAGTGAACACGTACAAACGACGTATATGGCATAAGATAAACACAACATGACAAACAGTTCGTTGGGCAGTCGGATGGGACACGTGAACTTTCCCTCCTTGTGAGCAACGGTTGACTGAATGAAAAAAACAAAATTAATGAAATAAAAGATATTATCTAGACTTTATTATTTACTCGTAAACAACGCATATTTGACGTAGGACCTGGATTGATATTGCATGCACAAGTCCACGCACTACGGGATACTGTGTATTTACCGAGTGTGAGTAACACTCGCCAAATAGTGCTACACACTCGGTAAACTCTTTACGAGTGACACACTCGGTGAAGTGGACTCGGCAAACAACGACTCGGTGAAGTTATTTTACCGAGTGTCTAATATCGGCGCACTCGGAGCAGAGAGTTACCGAGTGCTACAACGACACTCAGTAAACAATTATGACTTGACGGTCATCAGCCTCCAAACTGACCGTTAACGGCGACGTTTACCGAGTGTCACTAGCAGCACTCGGTAAATAAATTAGCATTTCGTGATTAAAACAATTCCGCAAATAAATTTTTTGAATAATGTTTACCGAGTGTAGCTTCTAACACTCGGTAAAAGAATAACCATTTTCGTGATTAAAACAATTCCGCAAATAAACTTCAGGGATAATGTTTACCGAGTGTTCCCACTCGATAAAAAGTAGTCAAATATTTCTGAGTCGGGACGCGGCACTCGGTAAAAAATGGCACACTCGGCAAAATTCACAGAATCAGAACCAATTTGGTTCTGTTCGCTGTTTTACCGAGTGCTACACTCGGTAAAACTGACAGAATCTCTGTTTTACCGAGTGCTACACTCGGTAAAATATGTCCACGGAATTTTTTTGTTTGTTTGTTTCAGTGCATATCCAGTCACAATAAGCAACAAAATCACATGAAATTATAATAACATGACAGATAGGCAATATATATCACATATATGTCCACAAATGTCACATCCATTCACAATAACCAACATATGTCGACAAGCACCATGCAAAGTCCACAAACACCATCAACATATGTCCAAAGTCCACAAAGTTCAACCAAGTCCACAGTTCAACATAAAAACCTATCAAACAAGGTCGGATGGCCTATCACATGGTCGGAGGCCTGCGGAGAAACGGAGTCAAGTCCAGGTCTTGATCACCCTGCATATCGTTGTTCGATCCAGCTGTAGAAGGTCCCTAGAATGAGATTGCACATGTGAGTTATCTGGATCAAAGCAAATTCTAAGGTCTAAGCTATGGTAGGTCAAACTAAGGTATAAGTCGAAGGTAGCTCTATATGACACGAAAGTGAAGAGTGCATCTAAGTGACTCATAGGAGTGCCGTCGCGCGGAGGTGGAGGCACCAACGGTATCATCGGCGGCGGCGGAGGCGGTGGAGGCTGGCCCATGCTCTGAGAAAAACGGGCCATGTACTCATACCAGTCCTTGTGCGCCTGTTGGAAGGCCTCAAGCTAGGCCTGCACTCGCGCCCTCTCCTGTGCCAACTCGGCCTAGTGTGACAGCTCGAGGGCCTGAAGCTGGCTCTGTGAGGCCTGCTGTGACTCCTACAGGGCTTCAATCTGGGCCTACAATTATTTATCACATAGTTAGAATGCAAATAAAGAACGAGTAGAAAATGAATGGACAACGAATGCAACAGAACTAACCTAGAGTGCTACCACCTGGGGCTGTGAGCGTGGGCGTATGACCCACTCGCCTACTCTGCAGCTCTCGCCAGCTAGGACACGTGATAGCAAGGGCAGCAGCGGCAAATCGAATTGTGCATTGTCTGCAACAGGGTGCTGCACTGCACGGCCCATAGGTGATTGCAAAAACAAGCACATCATCCCACAGTTTGTCCCCATATCTCGATGGATCCTTATCCCCCATGCTTGTTATCGACACTGCTATACTCCTATAAAACTTCAGTGTTTAACACCTACATGCAACTGGACAAATCACAACACTACTCAATACAGGTAGTCTGTCCACTGCCCAGTGCATGGACAGCAGCTATGCGGAAGGAGCCCGGCCAGGTTTGCATTTTGAGGAGGTTAGTCACTATGAATGTGACACAACCTGTATATCTTTAGAATTGCTCAATTCCAAAATGTGCTAGGTGACATACTAGAGTCAGTCACAATGAAAGTGACACGACTATATATGTACTAGAAGAGTTGCTTTGGAAGTCACCTTACATTTGAAAAGTCGGTGTATATTTGAATATTCCATTTTGCTAATACACTATCAATTGTCTACCTTCAAATTTGCTTCATTCCTAAATGTGCTAATAAGTGACCTACTAGTGTTAGTCACTTTGAAAATGTGCTAATAAGTGACCTACTAGTGTCAGTCACAATTGGAGGCTGTACTATTGTGGTAACTCTTTGAAAACATTTATTTTGAAGCTACAGCCTACAATTAGATCTTGCTGCAATTGGCAAAGGCTGCATAATAGCACAAAAGAGCAAAACAAATTTGCCCTAAACATGCCCAGCTGCTAACAATATAGAGAACGCTCATCCTTACTCACGTCTAGTCATTTTCTCATCTTTCACAACTAAAGTCATCAACTCTAAACATGAAAGTCATCAACTCATTTTAATATTTGAGCTGAACAAACAATGATGCTACATGAAACTTCATGTATTGTCACAACCAAACTCATGAAAGAGTGTATGCATGAAGTTCCAGTGGCTTAGGGCATTTACCGGTGGCGGCGGCGGTGGTGGAGGGGAGGAGGCAGCCGCGGCGAAGGCAGTCCCGCGGTGGCGGCGGGTGACCGCCCTCCCCTGGTGGCGGCGGCTGTGGGGGACCGCCCGGTGGCGGCGGTGGTGGAGGGGAGGAGGCGGCCGCTGCGGTGGGGAGGCGCCGGCGACGGCGTGGAGCGCGCGGGCGCGGGCGTGGGCGCGGGCGCGGGGAGGCGCGGGCGCAAGTGTGGGGGACGGCGGGGAGGCGCCGGCGCGGGGGACGGCGGCGGTGCGGCAGGGATGCGCGGGCGTGTGCGGTGTGTGTGTGTTTGTGCACGATTTGAGGGAGAAACGGCTAAGTGTTGTATGCTTCTGTTTACCGAGTGCCTAGATGTACGGCACTCGGTAAACTCAAGCACCGCAGCCCAATGACATGTGGGCCTGGTACATATTTACCGAGTGCTCAGATCTACGGCACTCGGTAAACAGAAGCACCGTAGTCCAATGACATGTGGGCCTGGTACATGTTTACCGAGTGCCCAGATCTACGGCACTCGGTAAACAGAAGCATGGCAGCCCACTGTCGTAGACAGGTAGGCCGTGGCTAACCTTTACCGAGTGTTTGAGGTCACACTCGGTAAAAGTATCCATTATTTTATGCAAAACAAAAAAGAAAAAATGCCAATTTAATCCTAAAATTCACCAAACTTTCACATGAACTATTTCATGTCATCTATTTACTATCTAAAAAAGTCCAAGTAAAAATCATAATGTTGAATTTCACTCTTAATAGAAATCCTACTCGTTATCGTGAATGTTTAGCGTCTCTTTGGGAGATGTACCGGTTCAGCAGCGACGAATGTAAAAATACTTCCGAAACGTTATGAAAATTTTTCTATAACATAGATGTATGCTTCAATGTTAATTCTTCCAATCTCGTGATTTATCGAGTTCGATTTTAATTATTACAATTAAATTTACACGATATGTACCTAATTTTCATAAAGAATGAAAATTTTGTGAAATATAGTAAATAAATCGAAATAAACACCATATTTTGGAATGGAGTACTAAATATCATATGTGGATAGAGGAAAAAGAATGAAAGCAAAAACAAGAAATTTGGTTGAATTTTACCGAGTGTTGTGCCAATACACTCGGTAAAAGATAGTGTTTACCGAGTGTTCTGCACTTACACTCGGTAAACATTTTCGGTCTTTTTTATTTGCTATGAGCGCTTGATGGGCGGAGCTGCTGTTACCGTGATGTTTGCCGAGTGTATGCTCATAACACTCGGTAAACATGTCATGCCGTGACGCCGTTTGTCGCACGGTTGATATCCTAGGTGACGTGGCACATCAATACCGAGTGGCTGTTTTTACCGAGTGGGCCCCTTCGGTAAACTTATAGTTTTACCGAGTGTCTGAAGTTACCGAGTGTGCTAACTCGGTAAAGAGGTCGACTACGGTGTTTATGTTTTCCGAGTGTTGGCACTCGGTAAGTACTGTTTTCTAAGTGCCCCGACTTTTGACACTCGGTAATTGTCGGGGCACTCGGTAAATACACAGTCTCCGGTAGTGACGTTGGTTTGTCCTTATGTGCAAGCATATTCCACGTAGGTGCCAGTCTCGTGTGCAATAAGTGAGCATGACACCGGCATGGTAGTGTTAATAAGTCAGCATGAAAGCATGATAGAAAGCTGTGTTGGTCATAGTAGCTAATGGATCTTTCGTCTTCTTCTCACAGTAGAATTGGCAAAAAAGTGTGTTGGCATAAAATTTGGCCATACACTAGCACACTAGGGAGTGCAGATCACAGCTGCTGCACTGGCTACATAACTTCTGAAGATCAAACATATGCGACTTGACATGAAACGAACGATCGCCGAGGGACCCGTTTCCAGAACCGACAACGGGTTATTTTAGGGTTGGCAAGACCGGCTGGAGTGTCTCAAGTCACCATACAGACAAAGACAGGACAATAACCGGCGGCGTGGATAATTTGCGAACGCTCATCGATCGGAAACCAGCGAACGAAATTCGGAGAGGGTTTAATTCCTTTTTGGGAAAAAATAATTGTCACCTATTACCCTATTTGGTAGTACTCAGACTGTCTCCAACGTGCCACGCATAGCGTTACCCAAACCCATTTTGGGTTCGGCACAGTGAAAAACGTCCTCCAACAGAATAGGCAAAGAGAGCACCTATTTTGTGTAGAAGGATTGAGGAAACGCAGATATGCGTCCTCTTTCCGTCGTCTCTCTCCTCGACGGCGCCAGTGTGGCAGAACCACGACACGGCAGTCCATGGCATTGGATCCGGCCATGGCGACCCCGGATCCGGTCGTGGAGGCCCCGGATCGACACCATCAAGGCCGAGAAGCACAGATCGACGCTGGACTTGGGCACTGGCGAGGGAAAGAGAGGAGTACGGGAGAGATGCCACCTTCACCTGGTCTGCTCGCGCCGAAGAACCCGTGCGCTGGTGGCGCCCCTGGGGCCCACCAACCCACGCCGCCGTATCGCGTCGCCGAGAGGCGCGCTCGCCCGCACCGCTGGCCGGGTGGGGCGCACCGCCGCGCCTGGGCGTGCTCGTCCCGCGCCGTCGCGCCGGGCCTGGAGGGGCGCCCTCGCGCCGCCGCGCCTGGGCACGAGATTGGGAGCGGCGAGATGGCCGTGATGGAGCGGCGCGGGCGTGCGAGGAGCAGCAGATTTTTTTTGGTTCGCTGTTGGAGATCGAAAATTTTGGGTCGGCGATGCAGCTACTGTGCGTGACCCAAACCTTATAATGGGTATCGTGTTTGGGTGTGGTCGGTTGGAGATAGTCTCAGCAGCGCGGCACCCTGGCATGCGCGCACTATTGCAGGCTGGCTATGACGTCAGCGCTGATGTAAGTGGAAAAAAACCAAACACTTATTTTAAATTGCTATAACTTCTGAACGGTGTATCCATTTTTAATTCCATCTGCACTGGTGTGCTCTACGCGACGAGACGAATAAAACTAGACCCCACTTGTATATGTTTTGAAGAATTTTTTTAGTAGCAACTTATATATAGCAACTTATACATATAACTTATTTATACAACTTAGAAACACAAGTTATTAAACACAAAAGGAACGAATTACTATGTAACTTATGCCCAAACTTAGAAACACAAAAGTTCACAACTTGCGTACTTAAGTTATTCTACACAAGTTATTAAAAACAAAAGGAACGAATTACTATATAACTTATGACAAAACTTATAGAAACATAAAAGTTATCATACACAACTTACGTACATATGTTATTCTATACAACTTGTCTACATAAGTTATTATGATTAGTTATTCTGTACAACTTTGTATATAAGTTATATGTTATAAGTTAGTACAAATAATTTGCTACTAAATTTTTTTTTCAAAACTTTCTAAAAAAGGAAAGTCGTGGAAAAGCTTTTTTACCAAAAAAGTAAAGCCGCAGTCAGCTGAATCGTTCGCTGCCGTGCGATCGGGTGAACGCCCACTCAATTGGAATTGGGAACAATAACTAGTGTTTGCCAAACCGGGTATCTAGGTTGTGAAAACTAGAGCATTCGATATTCTTAGATTTGGCCACGCTTGGGTCATGACACAAAAAAAATGGATCATGACACAAAAAAAAAATGGGCCACGCTTGCATTGACTGGAGTCTGCAGGATCGGACTCTATATTTTTCCATGGAAAATACTTCTTTTCTCCATGCCCATGCAACCTGACCTGCCGTGGACACGTGTCCTGTTCAAACAGACCTAGTCATAGGAAGGTCAAACTGGCAACCGGATGTATAGCTGGCCGGCACAATCTGTTGTAAATTGGATCACTCCAATCAATTTATTCCCAATCTATTTGTTGTAATACATACAGTAGTTATATATTCAGCAGCACTACGCGGCGAGAGTGAAATTGAAGCTGCTGCATGAAAGCCCGATCGCATTGAGGAACGTGGTGAATCCGAGCTGCTGCTTCTCCACGTCCAGCACCAGCAGGCGGTTCTCCAGCTGGAACCCACCGATCACCGCCGCCGGCGCCTGCCCCGCCGCCTGGACGAACCCGAGGCAGGCCGTGTTGGCGTTCACCTTCACCATGGAGTTGCCGCCGAGCACCGTGAAGTTCTGCCCGCCCTCCAGCATCACGTCGATCTGCGGCACCAAGTAGCCCAGAAGCTTCTGCGGCAGCTTCGTCGGGTCGTAGCACCGCTCGAACGGCGAGACGGCGGTCACCCTCGACATCCACGGGAAGTTCCGCCCCGTGGCCGCCGCGTCAAACGCCCTCAGCAAGGGGGCGTAGACGGCGGGACGGAGAGATGTGTGCGGGATCGTGGAGCTCAGCGCCACGACGAGCCGGAGGTGCTGACGCGACTCTGCTCTACGGCGATGCCGGTGGCGGAGACGTAGTACCCGGCGGAGCCATTGAACCCGTGGAGCGGCGCCTTGCCGGCCAGCATCGTCGTGAAGTCGCCGCGGTCTGGCGGGATGAAGAACATGGGACCACCGCGGAAGATGGCCACGCCGACGCTGTCGCCGGTCGTGGACTTGCCGTCGCTCGGGAGGCAGAGCGCGATCTTGTCGGCGACCTTCTGCGTCCGCGCCACCTGCGCCGGGAACGACTGGGACGAGGGCGCGAGCCCCGTGACGCCGACGGCACCGGCAGGGACCTTTCCCTGTGGCGTGCAGGAGGCCACGGTGGAGAAGGAGACCGGGAACAACGGGTTCTGGCCGTCGGTGGCGTTCGCGGAGAGGGTGACGAGGGTGCCGTTCTTGGAGGCGCACGTAGTCAGGGAGATGACCGGGCTGGTGAAGTCGAGGACGAGCGGGTGGCCGTCCTTGAGCGGCGCGGTGTAGAGGGAGGTGGAGGCGTCCTTGGTGACGGCGGTCACCAGGGGTTTGCCGCCGCTACCGGCTGCCTTGCATAGTGATAACGCTAAGCAGGGTGAGATGACGAGCAGGAGGGGTTTAGGATTCCACATTTTTTGCCGCTTGGTTTTGAGAAGGTTGGTTTGGTGTTGTTGTGCTTCTTTGGTGCGGCTGCTAGTTTTACTAGTAGAGTGTTTTTATGTTTGTCGAGTATTTTTCCTCGGGCACTCGGCGAACAAGTTCTTTGTCGAGTACTGCGCTAAAAACCCTCAGCAAAAAAAAAAACACTTGGCAAAGAGGAGGTTTGCCGAGTGTCAAAAAAACACTCGGCAAAGAGGGGGTTTGCCGAGTGTTTTCTTTTTTGCACTCGGCAAAGAAATAAAATAAAATAAAACACTCGGCAAAAAAAAACACTCGGTAAAAAGGAGGTTTGCCGAGTGTCAAAAAAACACTCGCCAAAGAGGGGGTTTGCCGAGTGTTTTATTTTTTGCACTCGACAAAGAAATAAAATATTTTTTCTAGAAAAGGAGAGAAAAAAAATGAAAAAAAAACTTTGCCGAGTGCCCAGATCTAGGACACTCGGCAAAGGACAAAATCCTACCTAATTCACCGACAGCGCCCCTCCCCTCCCCCTTCTTCTTCCCGCGGGCGCCCCTCCCCTCCCCATTCTTCTTCCCCCGTGGCCGCCCCCTCCCTCCCCTCCTCCATTTCCGGCGCCGGCGCGCCCCTCCACTCCCTCTCCGGCGCGCCCCCCTCCCCTCCCTCCCTCCCCTCCTCCCTCTCCTGCCTCCTCCTCAGATCTGCTGGCCCACGCCCTCTCTCCGGCGCCGCCGTGCCGCTCCCCTCCCTCCGGGGGGCCCTTCACGGCCGCGCGCGAGGCAGCCCAGCCCCTCCTGTCTATGGCGCAGGGCGGCTCGGCCCCTCCCGGCGATGCAGAGCAGCAGCAGCAGCGGGTGGCGGTGCAGATCCGCCCTCCTCCCCTCCCTCCATGGCTCCACCGTGGGTGGCATCGCGGATCCGGTGGGATGGAACCACCACGACGCGGATCCCGCGGAGAGGTGTCCTCTGGCGGCGGATCCAGTGGGTTGGATCCCAGTGGCGGTGGATCCGTGGATCTGACGGTTAGGAGCCCTCCGGCGGCAGGCTCCACGGCGAGCAACGCAGCGGCGGGCTCCATGGCGACGGCCCCTCCTGTCCCCTTCTTCTTCTCCCGGTCGGATCCGGCCCTCCCTCTCCCGGATCCGACCGGTGGCGGCCGGATCTGGTGGCAGGGCGGCGGCGGCTTTGGTGGTGGTTGTGGTCGTGGGCGGCATCGGGGCGTGGTGGTGGCGGCGGCGGCAGCTTTGGTGGTGGCCGGCGGCTGTGGTGGTGGGCGGCGGTTGTGGTGGTGGTGGTGGCCGGCGGCTGTGGTGGTGGTGCCGCCGACGACTTGTTTTTTTTCCCGAAAAATGTTTGCCGAGTATTTTTTGGGACTCAGTATAGTCTTTGCCGAGTGCCCGACGATTGACACTCGGCAAACAGCTCTTTGCCGTTAAAACCTACGCCGAGTGTCATTCGCTTTGCCAAGGGTTTTTGGGGCTTCTTGTATGCGGTAGTGAGTAATCTAGTGTATATATAGGGCAATGCACGTGGACTTGTCAAGATGCAAAGATCAATCGGTCTAGATGCTGGTTGCTTGAGAATCGTGTTTTCCTGTTCTCCTAGTCACCTCCAGGAGATTAGAAGACGACTCCTCGACATGCTTAGCTGGTTCCCATTTAGCTAGTTGAATTTCACTTTGCATATGAAAAAAGTCCCTCTACTACTCCCTCTTTTCCAGAATATATCTAATGTATTAATACACTAGTAAAGATTCTTCATCACCGTCAGATCAGGAAGCCTCATCACCGTCAGTTTTTATGCTAATTTGTGATAATCAGCGGCGGTAAGTTCATATCACCGCTGGCTTGAGTAACCCCAGGGCAGTGATAGGTTGACATCACCGCTGGCCTTCGTAACTAGTCGTGATGACGGGGACATAGGGCCAGCACTGTGTGGACGCCACTATCGCGCGCAAGGGCCACCTCTGCACCGAGATGCCGACACGGCAAGGCTTGGGACGCCCGCCACTGCCGCACCGAGATCCGGGGCAGCCGCACCGGGGGCTACCAGGGCCATCGCTGCGGTGTGGGTCACCACTGCTAAGATTTGTTGCGTCAAGATCCAGAGGCCGTCGGGGTGCTCGCACCGGGCACTGCTGCGCTAGGGCACCTGTGATGGGGTGTCGCCCTCCCTCGGGCACTGCACTTGGCCGATAGGCAACCGCCACAAGATCAAGAGTCCAAATGTATGAGCTCTCACCGGGGTTCAGCCGCCACCGCCGCGTGTCTTTGTGATGTTCGTCGGATGTTGGTGGTGGCGGAGGAGCTTTTTGAGCCATGGGTGTACCGCCGTCGCTGGTGGATAACAACCAGGGAGAGAGGGAGAGAGATCGATAGAGAAGGGACGAGAGAGGAGAGGAGGGGACTTAGAGTCTCTAGTCGTCGGGGGGCTCACGTGGTGAGTTGGGGTCTTGGGTTGTCGGGCGGATGTGAGTTAACCATTTTTCGGGTCCACACTATTGACCCTAGTGACGTGGATTTGCTTCAGGCATCAGTGAGTAAGTATTTACATCACAAACGCGTTTTATTAATCCGCTTCTATGATATATGCCTAAATTTTTTTATCTTTTCTGGGGCTAACATACGAGGGACGTGTTTTGGTAAGATGCATCTGTAATTACAAATTAGGGACGTGTTTTGTTTTCGCATCACTAGGAACAGGTGTCTGCTATTTGGTTTTTTTACATAGTGAGTTGTCGTGCCCAATTGCACGCGCCAGGTTTCCGTCACCCCCTTGGAGGTTGAGGAGAGGGAGAGGAGCTTTCTAAGGTAGGGAGAGAAAGGGGAGAGAGAGAGAGAGGGGGGGAGACATAGGTTAGAGAACACACGGAGCCATGGAGGATAGAGGATAGGTGGTTTGGTGGGTAGGACAATTTGCGTGCTTCGCTTGTGTCTATTCGCGTGGTGACACATTGGTGGATGACCCCACGTGTCTGCCAGACAAAAAAAAAGCACATGCAAGCTAGAGAAAAGACATGATGGGAGAGGGAAATGAACACAGCACAGCCTGCTCCGATTTTTCACAGCCGATTTTTTTTTTCAAACTGGTTGTGAAAATCATTTTCACCGACGATTCGGGACACGATGGCTGGTAGTGCGAGGCATGCTGCAGTGGCGGAGGCAAGGGGGGCTGGCAGGGGCCATGGCCCCTGCAAACATGTCACCACAAATTTTTTTACTAGTATAAATTTATGATTTTTATTTATAATTAAGAGGAAGAATATAATAAAATTGCTATCATATATATCTATTAATATTCTCTAGATAATAGAATCATACAAAATACTACTAGACAAAAGCACCTTAGAAATGACTAAGATATCTTGAGGTCTACAAATCATCCCAGACGCCTTGATGTTAAGTTGTCGTCTATCACTGAAAAAATAACGCCTTTGATCCTAAAATATATATAAGAAAATGCGAGCACTCGTGCCAAGTCGATGGATCATTTTGGTCAGCCCCGCTATGCACAGTTTCTGGCTCCGCCACTGCATGGTTGTAGGCATAGGGTGACCGGTGTTGCGAGGCACGGCTGTAGGCATATGGCGTTGCGATGGCGAGGCGCGGCTAGCGCGAGGAAGCATTTGATGCATGTCGTAGGCGATCGGTTGTGTGAGGCACAGTTGCGGTCGCGGGCATACAATGGCCTGTGCACCAGCTGTTGTGAAAATAGTTCCTTGTGGGAACCATATATAGTTGAGGTCCTGATGTCTCCATTCTTCAGGGAAGAAGAGGTAGATTTTGTGATATCTCTCGAAAATTGTAGGGAAAGAATATCTAATTAGACATTTCTAGATCAATCTAATCTCCTACTCCGTTCCAGATTGTAAGTCATTCTTGTTTTTCAAGTAACTTTTACTATGTATCAAGATATATTATATATATATCTAGGTATGTGGCAAAAGTTATGTAATTAGAAAATCCTGAACGACTTCAAATTTGAAAAAGAGGTAGTATATTACAAGATTTTAGGGATACCGGAGGAAATGGAAGATCTGGTGGAGATGCTCTATAATCAATTTTCTAGGAGTGTATTCAGCTCAACTGGTCAAGAAAAATCCCTAGCCCAAACATGATATTATAGGACAAAAACTACAATATTGAAAAACCACAGCTGACTCTATATATTAGATTCCCTCACAGTGGAGCCGTCAAGTGGAGCAGGCAAGGGTACAGTGTATACAGAGGAATTAGCATGATGCAAAGCCATGAAGTTGAGCCGTCAGAGATGTGCAATCTGACAAAAGAAAAAGCTCTGTGACTAGAAAGCAGGCCAGGCACGAAGCAGCAGCGACAGCAGGCATCACGAAAAATTAAACGCAAAGGCCCAGCCCTGCACAACAACTAACCAAGCAATCAGGCGGCAGAAAGCAACGTCACTAGAAAGAATATGCACACGCAACGCAACATGCATATATGCACACGCAACACGATAGGGAGGCATAGGAGTGTGAAAACAAGCCTTATCCTGACTATTGAACTGTCGCTAAAGTCTTATTTTCTCTATCAAACTCAAGGCCTTGTTTAGATTGCAAGTTTTTTCACTCTCTCTTTATCACATTAAATCTTTGGACATATGCATGGAGTATTAAATGTAGATAAAAAAATAACTAATTACACAATTTGATTGTAAATTACAAGATGAATCTTTTGAGCCTAGTTAGGCCATGATTGGACAATAATTGTCAAATACAAACAAAAATGCTACAGTGCCAAATACTGATTCCTAACCCCAATCTAAACAAGGCCCAAAACCAGATATCTTTAATCAACCAACTCTGAATCCTGACAAATATGACCCTCGAACTGATTTCAAAAGTGACCTTTTAACTATATAATTTTTTTTCTAAAATAACAAAAATATGGCTGGATTTCAAAAATAAAAACGTATGAAGCAAGTATCCAAATTTTGTTGGAATCTAATATATCTCTTCGACACTCCATTTCCAAATTAGGATGTTATTTCTTACCAT